ACCTTTTCCTAATTACTGAAGGCTCTGTACTTCCATACTTGTCTCAATATAGAAAGAAAATAGCAATACTTTACAAAGTAGAAAAAATTTTAAGCAACTACTTCAACCTACCTGTACTTAAACCTTCTTTTCCTGTGACCCCTCAGCAGCTTTCTTACAACCTCAAAAAATTTTTTCTATATAAACTAAAAAATATAGAAAAGTTTAAACATTTTGCAAAACTTCTTAGACCTTACTATGGATTCAAATGCCTGTCTAGCAACTACATCATACAGAAATCTAGACTTCTGGCAGATCCAACCTTGATTAAAAACCAAATTAATTATACCTTTCCAATACAGAACAAATCACTTGCAAAAATCTTTATAGTTGAAGTCAAAAAATACTACAAATTTACTATCCCACTGCCAACTAAATATATGACAGTTAATCTAACAGATAAACTAGACCTACCTGATGAACTTAACCTAACTATACTAATCCGGTCATCTAAACTACTTGTAGAAATAGCAAGAGAACTAAGAAAATTCTACTATTTCTCACAATTACCAAAATCTTGGATCAAAATTTCAAGCAAACCAACTCACTATAACAAGTCTCTAATTCCCCAACATATTGATAAACTTAAATCTCAATTAGACCAAATCAACTTTGAGCCTCACTTTACACTTCACATAATTCCAGAATACCTACTAATACTTCCAGATTTACCTGAACCTGACTAGGACATCTTCAACAACTATATACCTCCAAACCCCTACAAAACTCATACAACTTATAACAACCCAACTAACAAAGAAAAGACTAGTACACACTTATAATCAATTACACTATGAATAATACAACTACTCTACTTAGTAACACACTGTCTAATACAATCAACAAAAACAATACAAATACTTTAACAAACCAAGACTTTACAATACAAATAAAAAGCCTTACAATTATAAATCACAATGTCTAGGGATTAAACAATGATACAAAGCTTCAAAACTAGTTAGAATACTGTAAAAGAAAGCTATTATATTATTATAATAACTGAAACTATGCTACTTCAATCAACTACTTTACACATATCCTTATCAAACCCACTCTACAAAATCTTTACTGCAAACTGTAATAAAAAAACAGCAGTCTGCCAAGAAGCAAGCCTTGGAGTAGCAATTACTATAAAACTATATCTACAACCATATATCTATAATATGTGAAAAATCTCTGGCCTACTCCTTACAATCGACTTTTACTTTTTCTACAAAAATAAACTATAATCATAGCAATCTATATCCCATCCCAATCTAATACAGCAACTGAAAAGGCTTAACAACAAGCAATAGCACTTATTAAACAAGCCAAAGCAGATCAAATATATACTATCATAGCTAGTAACTTTAATAACAATATTAACTAACCCAACTTTGGAAACAAAACACCTATATTAACTTACCTTGCTATAGCAGGTTTTATTAGTTTCATAGATTTCCATGACATTACTGAATCGACCTAGCAATAAAATGATCAAGTGAGCCAGATTGATGACATATGAATAAATCTAGAAATATCATTAGATTTCAAGATACCCCAGCTATATCATACTTTAACCTCAACTAATAGTGACTACAAAATTCTTACAACTATATAGCACACCCCTGGAGAATAGCACTACAACAGGTCAAAAAGCAAAAAAGTAAAGTCTACTTTTATAATAAAACAACAGAAGAAGACTGGCAAAACTTTGCAAAACAAATCAAAGACAATATGAAGTTGTCATCACTAAAAATACTTACATTACTAACACAAACACACTTAACTATTTTACAAATATATGGCAGAGTATTATCAAACAAGCCACTGATAACAATATACTAATAGCATATTCAGCCCCCAAAGAATTCCATACACATACCTTTAAGGCAACCCAGCTACACTATGGTCTAAAAATTATAAATAAGACTATTTAGTCTTTTATCTCAATTTGACCACCTACTCTACCTAGTAGTAGGCTACAAGTTCTAAATTCCTAGCTCCACTTAATAACAAAACTAACAAATATTAATACTGTAAAAATTCAATCAACCCACTTCTACACACCAAGTTATAATACAATTTTAGCACAATTAAAACAAATATAACAGACAATTTTCTTAGTAAGATTACTAGAAAATAACAAAGAAAAAAGAGAAAAAATAAACTATTTCACTAATCAAAGATATACAAACTTTACCACCAACATGACTACAATAATTAATAGTATATTAAAATGTACCAAAAACTGTTACTTACTACAATATAGTTACACTAACTCAAGTGCACACAGAACCACAAACAATAAAAAAGGCTAAAGAAACTTACTTTCAGCAATTGACAAAATAAAACCCTAGTGATACTACAGAATAGAAACACTAGAAAACTTACTACAAACTAACAAAAAATATTCTATCTCGTATATTTGATAAGTTAACAGATATCTTGGCCAGTTATAGCTGTGACATTAGGTATCAGGCAGGTAGCTATTAATAAGGTAATATGTTAGTCCTATTCGTTGTATCTGTATTTAGCAATATATGATTAATAAATACAAATGTAGCTATATATTCTTACATTTTAATATCAATTAACAAATTGTTTAATCATGTTTTTTATAGCTTATCATGGTTTGTTTTACAATCTACTTTCAATATTGTAAATGAAATTATTTCTCAATACAGAAGTATTTTGCTGAGAAAATTTTGTATTATAAACTCTAAATCAAAATTTGTGTCATAAGTCTAATACTAGAATAAGTTCTCAATATGTATAACATATTAATAATTCACTTTAAAAGCGTAAAACCTTTACTTGCAAAATGCAATTGAGAGGCTTTGAAAATTATAGGAAGTTTACACATACTAAGGTTTTTATTTACCTTTTTTATATATTTTTTCTCATTTAAATACTGGATTTTTATTTGAATATTCTTAGTAAAAATGTTGATAATTATTTATGATAGTAGTAGTGATATATTTATTATGATTATAATAATAATTATTATCATCATTATTATTATTTATTAAAATGAAAAATAAATGAAGATTTTATTTAATTATCTCTTAATTTTACAAAGGTTTGCTTTGGCAGTAACAACTTGAAGGCAATTCTATTTCATAAATAAGTAATAGAGGTAATAGAATGATCAGGTAATTAAAAAATTTCAAAGATAATTAGGTTGATATGCAGAAAATTGGGGCTCTGAGACTATTTTTTATTAGCCCCAGAGCCCTGATTTGCTGCGACTAAAGCTATTTAATAAATCACATAGAATCATTAACAGTTGCTCAGACATTGTTTGTGGACCTTATTTTGATCAATCATAAAAATTAAGCATCATTACAATTAGGGCAGTGACAGATATTACGTAATATCCTAGGGGGAGGTACCTAGAGATGATATTATATATATATTTTATATATGATCATATATGAAGTGGGGGGGAGGGGGGTAGCTCCCTTGATAAAATGATATTATGTAATATATGTCACAGCCCTTATTAGCAAATTACAATAATGACTATACTTAAGTATATCTTAATAATATTCCTATTTATACTATTGGTTTGCTAAAATTACCATATACTACTGCTTATAGTATTCTCCATGATTAAGATCTAGGTATTATTTACCATCGCTACCAACTTGTTTTTTGAATAAGACCTGGATTATAACTATAATAATTTACAACTTTTAAATAATATATATTCTCTAGATATAGTACCTGGTTTTTTATACAGTATCTATAAATATTATTCAATTTTAAAAATAAAATTCTTGAATAAGACTCTGAGTACTATAAGCAGTAGTTTACAGTATATTGTAGTTATTGTGTACTATTTCGGTCTTTAGGAAATCACATCTAGGTTGATACACTACATCATAAAAATTTAATTCTTTGAATTTTTAGTATAGTTAATCTAAATTTAAAAAGTCAATTAGTTGTTTTAACAATTAATTAATTGGAATTTTAAATAACAATTTATTAATTAACTAATCAATTTGTTAAATAATTAATTAATTAATAATCGATTAGCTGCAATTGACCCAAATTAAAATTTAAAAGATATTTTGTTAAAAATACTATCTTGATTTGTAATAGATAAACAACAAAAAGTGATTCTTTTTAATATGCTATAGACATATCCACAATATTGTTTATTCAATTTTCCAAGTATCTTGTAAAAACATTGCTCTAATTTGAACCTTCAACTAGTTAACTTTAAAAAATATTATTATAATTAACTTAGGCATAATTAGCATGAATAAGAAGAAAATAAAAAAATATTTTGCTTTAAAATTTTAAACCTTTAGTATAATTAACCTTGAATTAAAAAGATATCGATACTTAATAAAAATACTGTTGTAAAACCTAAAACATAACCTGATGGTAAGTATATACTCATATAATGCAAAAATTTCCAATTTAGAATTACTGGCAGAATTTTACGAATTCTGCAAATTCTAGAGATTTCTTGAATAACCTGTATTACAACAATAAGGCAAGCTAGGTAATAAACTCTGAACTTGTTAGCAAGTAGTATATAAGAACTACTTCTAAATAACAAGTGCTATTTTCATAGTGAGTAATCAACTCTGGGCTTGTTAGCAGGTAGTATATGAGAACTATTTCTAAATAACAGGTGCCAGTTTATAGTTTAGACCAGTCTTATTTCCTTCTTTTCTACTATAGTTTACTGTTTTTTGAAAAAAATTTTGTTGTGATTTTGGTACAAGGAATTGTTGGAAAGAGTCAAATAAATAATTGTTTAGAGTTAGTGTTATTAGTAAAAAAGTATGTATTTATTTTAATAGATATTATGGATTTAAATAAAGATTTTAAATTTTAGCATTAGCCAATTTTAGCATTAGCTATGATAATAATTTTAATATACAATTAACAAATTTAGATAAAATCTAACTATATTAACTATATAATATAAATAGTAATTAATTATAGTTAACTAAATAATAGCTTTAATCTTAAATCAAATATTGTTTTTTTTATATAGATTATATAAATATTATTAATATCTTTGGGAAGAATCTATTGCCAATCTATTAGCAATAGTATAAAAAGCTTTTATTATAATTAGCTAAATTTGTAGATTATTTTGTAACATAACAAAATTTAATTAGCTAATAGAAAATAAGTTCAAAATAAAAAATTTATTAATAAAAGAATATTAAAATTATAAATTTTTATTCATGATAATAATATTTAATGCTTAGATTCCAATAGTTATTATTAATTGTATATCTGGTTAAACTTAATTTTAAAAAAATAATATTTTTAAACTTATTAATTTATTAATATAATTATATATATAGATAACTTTTATTGACTAAATTATATATAAAGTTAAATAATTTACCAAAATAATAATATAATAAATTATAGAATGAAAATTATTAATAAATACAATATACACTTATAGAGAGTATAAACAGTTTATATAAAAACCCAAAATTAACTACAGAAATATTATATAATTATATATGTTTTATACTACTTTATATTTAATATACTATAATTCTTTAAAACTTAATTAAATAATTTATACTCAGAAAAAATATTAAAAAAAAAACAACTATTAGCAATACTAATTGAATTGATATTTGTAAATTATTAAGTTAATAAAAAAAAAATAATAGTAACACTTATTAGCTAAAGTATAATTTATCTTGCCGATTAACTAAATTACTTTAGTCTATATAACAAAAGTACACTTATAGCTAACTTCTAAATTGTTTTTTTGTTCTTTAAATTATTTTTACTGTATATAATATGAGAAGTATAGTTTGTAAATATGTATTTAGCTTTGTTCTACATTTATTTTTATAGTATATAATTTATTTAAAATTAGATTATATGTGCAATATATATATAATAATATATTTAATGATTGACTAATCAGAACTAAAGCCTTCTATGCTGTTGCCAATTGCTTCAAAGTTGCATATAATCCAACTAGCTACTACATGTTTGTGAAGAAAATTTGTACTAATATAAAAGTTATAAGTAGTTTTCGGGTTTATGTCATTTGCCTGACAACAATTTTTCCAATATCTATTTTCCCAACAATATTTTCCTAATATACTCTTTCTCTAATAACCATTTCTCTGACAACCACTTCCCCAATATACCCTTTTCCCTAATATACCATTTTTCTGACAACCATTTCCCCAATATTCCTATTTCAGACATATCTTTTTCTCTGAGTTGAGAAAAACGATATATTTGAGAAGAGAATATTAAGGAAGTGGTTGTAAGAAAAAAGATATATTAGGAAAAAGAGTGTGTTGAGAAAGTAGTTGTTAGAGAAATAGTTGTTGGAGAAGGGATATATTGGAAAAATATTGTTTGAGAAATAGATATTAGGTAAATTGTTGTCAGAAAAGTGACATGAACCCATAGTTTTCTTTATAAAGATATTTTTAAAATACTTTGTAGAATTATTGATAGTCTTAAATGAATTTATAGTAACAGACTTTATAATATTAATTTCCATAATAAAAACTCTATTGATAAGAATTTATTGCAATTATCTAACAAAACAGCTTCTGTAATCTTAGCTCCAAAAATACAGTACTAAAAAATAATAAATATATACAAGCTTCAGATATAGTATATATTTTTTTTACTAAATTTGCATGATTTTGGTATTAGTATGAATACATTAATAAGTAATTGCAATTTGTTCTTATCTAAATTCTATACTATTTTTTCAAATTTATTACTTAAATCTCAGATTTGAGCCAATTCAAATTTTTATACTTTATTTTAATAATTATACTTTTTTTTATTAAAAATTTTAAACTATTTATTTTTAATGAAAAGTAAAAGTTGCTGGGTAAAGAAAACAAAAAAAAATAGAAAAAATGAAATAAGCCTTATGATTGCAATAGAGATAAGCTATAAAAAAATATAATATGGGGTATTAGTAGAAACAAGTTAAATTGTTTTTAAGTAAATTTTTTTCAAACTTTAAATTAAAATATCTTAACAACTATTGAACCAAACTTGATAAAATTTTTTTTATTTTAATTCTATTTAGTTATAAAATTAAAAAAAAAAATTATTAAATAAAAAAAAAAAATTATCAAGTAAAAAAAAAAATTATTAAGTTTGGTTTAATAGTTGTTAAAATATTTTAATTTAAAGTTTTAAAAAAAACTTACTAAAAACAATTTGTCTAGTTTCTATTGGCTCCCCATATACTTATTACTACTTTTAAATGAATTAATATATTTTATTAAAATGAGTAATACTTGAAATATAAAATAATACCATTAAAAAATTTTTTTTGAATATGAATGATAAATTTCAGTATTATTGTATTTAGAGTTTCACAATTTGATTTGATTTGATTTTTGATTTAATCAAATATTTAATTTTAAACCAAATCCAAATCAACTTCAAATTTGATTTGATCAAATTCAAATGATAATTATTTGATTATCAAATATATCAAATATTTTGTTTGAATTATCTATCTATATATTATATTAAGCTTTTAATACTTGTCTGAAATAAAATGAATCTGATTATTGATCAGTTAAAATCATTGTAATTTGTGATTATTTGTTAAACATATAATATTATAATATAGTTTGGGGTTTGAAATAGGAGTCAATATAGAATCTTGGCTAGGTTTTGGTATTGGTTTAGGTATTGGAGTGTTTGGCTAATGATGGCACTTGCAGGCATAGCTAAAATATCCTCTATTGTGTTGTAAGAGGCCAGTCTATCAATTATAGATGAGTCTCTTTTTCTTCTGAGCTTTTTTACTGGGGTGTATGCATCTTTATCTATTGGTTCAAGTTCTTCCTCAAGGATTGCAAGCAGTTTGTCCCTTTTTCTTATACTCTTAGTTGGTTTTCCAGATTTCTCCAGGATAGGTCTGAACCTTTTTTTCTTGATTGTTGTTGGTAGAGTAGAGTGGAGGTCACTTTTCTTCAAGAGCATAGACTTCATCTTTGGCTTAGTTTTTCTTATTGTTATTGTATTAATTAAACCACTTTAGGTAATTAATTGCAAATTATTTCTTAGGGTCTCTCTTTAGTTTTCTTTTTGATAGACAATGACAAGCAATATAGCTTTTTTCAGCATATTTGAAGCAGATGATATCTTTCTTTGGTTCTTTATTCTTTTCTTTTCATAATTATTCTGGCTGATAGTTTTAGTGTTTTTCAACATGTATGCCCAACACTGATTATTGTCAAAGTTTACTTTAGATCATTTCAGAGTTAAAGCAGCATAGTTTAGGGCAATTTGTTCTATTTTTTGTGACAAATTTTCTAATTCTTCTTCAATTTTCTTTGATAGCTTTTCTTGGGGTTTGTTTACTGTAATATTTACTAGTTTTTGCTTTTTGTGCTTTTGCAATTGCTTCATTCTGATTATTTAGTTTAGTTACAGTTATGAAGATGGTGGCTTTACCTTGAAGTCCTAAAAGAAATATACATATAATATATAAGCTGGGTATTTTATTATCCAGATTAACTCATTTTAACAACTTCTTGAACTTGATAGCATAGGCATTGATCTTTTCATGCTTTAGCTGCTTGAGTTCTTGAAATTTGATCTGCTATCCATAGAATCTTTTTAGTGTTATAAAAAATTTGATAAAGCTATAGTAGAAACTAGAGGCTTTATTCTTATTATCTTTCTATTGGCTTAAATTATTTTTCTTCTCTTTGTACCAATTTGCAGTGAGGTTCTTTAAGTATCCAGTGGCTATTTTTAGCATTCTTCTTTCCATCCAATTATTTGCTGTGGTGGCTTTCTCAAATGCTTTTAGCTATTTTATCAGGTCTTCTTTGTTGCTTTCATGAAAGAAGTTGATTTTCATGTGGGTTAATTTTCTTCTTTCTTCTGGGTCTCTTCTACTATTTGCAATAGTATTAGCAACTTTGATGAAGGAGTAAGTTAATCTGTCTAAGAGCTTCTTTAGTTGGTCTCTGTCTATTTTAAATTCTGAAAATGCACTTCTTGTTACTCTAGAGTTTATTTAAGAATTTCAAATCAGAGAGGAGAGAAGGGGATAGCTAATGTTTTGTATCTTATAGTTTATCACCAAAATGTTAGCTTCAAAATTGGCAAGTCTGTTGCTTGGTCATAGTTAGCTTTATGTAACAAAAGAAATGGTTAGGTTGTGTCAAAAGAGGCATATTAGATTTGGCTGAGTGGTTAAAAGTATAGGTGTGGTTTTTCTAATATAAGCTTAGACACTTTTATGAATACTATAGATATACAAGTTACTAAATTATCAACAACTTAATATAGAAGTTAGTGTATTATATTTAGTGTATTATATACAAGGTTTATGAGAGACTGATTGGTCTTTTTAATGTTTGTATGTCTTAGTGAAGTTAATAAAAGCAAAGGTAAGAACTTGTTCTTTTCTCAAAGGTCAAAGGCCTTTATTTATAATGATGATTCTATCTACATAAGCTGTCTATAACTCCAAAAATGCCCTTATTAACAGAAATGAACTTATTGTCAAAATCACTAATAATCCCAAAATTGCTATTTCTGCCATTTTTGTAATTTTTACCATTTCTATAATTTTTGCCGTTTCTACCAGAAATAGCCTTTTTGTGATTTCTGGCCAGAAAACCCCAATTTGGAAATATCTAAGGTTACGGGCGGCTTTACTTATTTGTGCTGATAATAAAAACCCTAAAAAGGAAACAGCCAATTAGAAAACACAAATTTTGGGTATTCTGGATCAGCCCAGCATAGAATCCATATCATTTTGATAAAACAGAACAAACAAAAAAAAGAGAAAATACAAGAAACGGTAAACTAAATCTAGTTTTATGTATTAACAAAAAATATCAGGAAGGTAATTTTACCTATAGCACTCTCTAACCCTAACCCTGATCCTAACCCTAACCCTAATATTTAATAAATTTCAAATTTACTCCGTTTCCTTTTTTGGTTTGTATTACCGGCACAAATAAGTAAAGCCGGTCACGGGCACGTGCCTGCGTCAGGTCACGTTTCCGGTTTCACAACGGGCAAAACATGTAAAAATTTATCGTACTAATTTATAAAGATAGACTAACTAATAATTTTCTATTTCAATTCCATAAAAGTTCAGGTTGAAGTTACGGACTCAACTAATAAATCAGTATATTTTTTTATTTTTTTTAACAACAAGTATTATTACTTCATTTTTCAATATTTTTCAAAACGTTAAGACATATAGCAATATTAACAAAAATGATTTTTTAATTAATAAGGATTGTAACGTTTTTTCTGTAATTTTTAAAGATTTCGATTAGACAATTTTAGGTTTTGTAATCTATTCGTCCATTGATCTTTCTATTAGGTTTGTTGATTTTTGTCCACACTTTAAACATCTAAAAAAGAACGACCTATGTGTCGAATATTGTAATTTACACAGATCAGTATGGTGTGGCAATCATATTCGTACAGTATGAGGTGTAAAATACCTTTATAGTTATTGTATGGGTATGTATGAATAACCAGTTACACACGGGTTCATATTCCGTGCCGAAGGCACGGGATTTAAATATGAACCCATGTGTGTAACTGGGTTATTCAAATACCCATACGTATAATAAATTACTGTGTTAGTTTTAGAAATTATCGTTATACTTAGTATATTTATTTGGCATAATTTTTAAAATAGGTATAGTATTTTACACATTTTACCATACTATTTTGGTCAACCATGTTATTATATGAACAATCTTCTGTAATCCCATTTTTGATTATATCTTTTAGGTTTAGAGATCAGATTTCAAAAATTCTATCTTAAAATATTACCAGAAAACAGCCTTTTGTCTTAGCAAAGAATTTTTGCAAGATATTAATCTTGATCTACTTGCCTGTTGATTAAATGATGCTATAACAAAATTTGTGAAAGCTTAGTTTTCAGATACAAAATTTTTGCAGAATTCTTTTTTTAGATTTACACGCACATTTAAAATAATGCAAGTTACATTTTCTAATTAGATCTAGGAATTTTAAATTATAATTTAAGTATGGCATAATATATTTATGGCATTCATATTATCAATAAAAATTTTTTTTTAAAAAAAAATAAATAAAATAATAAAATTGTTATTTCTGATTGATGAACAATTATAATGAGAGAAGAAAATGATACTTCGGGTTTTCGGTTTTATAATTTATTATTAACCGGATTTGCCCTTTAAAAAATCTTTATAGTAACATCTATGACATGTAATCGCAGATTTTCACGAGCTGAATTTATAAATAATAAAAGTTTCATATTCTTTTGGTAGTTCTCAATACAATTTGGGTCTATAAATTTAACCTATCTTTTTTTTTATCAGTGTGTTACTTTTTTTCATTCATCTTGGTTTATTTCTAATTAGATATATCATATCACTATACATATATTAATGGCACTTATATTATTAATTAAAAAAAAAATAATTTCCAATTGATGAACTATCATAAATGAGAGAAGAAAATGATACTTCGGGCTTTCAGTTTTATCATTTATTGTGAGGGACGAACATGAGGATAGACTAAGTTATTAGCCGGATTTGCCCTTTAAAAATCATGACAGTACATGTGATCACAGATTTTTCACGAGCTTAATTTAAATAAACATAAAAGTCCGAAATTTCATTTTCTTTTGGTAGTTCTCAAGAGATTTCTATACATTTTGGGTTTATAAATTTAACCTATCTTTTTTTTTTTTTTTTTATCTCGGAGTGTTACTTTTTTTCAATCATTTTGTTTTTATTTTCAATTAGTAATCTTATGTCATACTACACTTATTATATCGTTCATTCATCATTTATCTATCAATACTGTTGTTAGTTCTGTAGTTATTCTTACATATGTGATTTTAATTCACCCTTCGGAAGAACAAAGCGATTTACAGTTGCACAACCAAAATTTAGCTGATCGACCAAAGTTTAAAATCATTATATTGTCATATAATATATTATATATACGATTAATTACTAAAAATAATTAAAAACATGTAACCGAACTAATAATTTCGTTTTTCGACCTCATAAATAGTCCAGGTTCAAATTACAGTCCTAACTGAAAAATCAGCATAATTTCTTTAATTTTTTTCTAATAATGAATAGTAATGAAAAATTTCATTTTTCAATATTTTTCAAAACTTTAAGACATACAGAAATATTCATATAAGTGATCCTTTAATTAGTTTTAATGTTCTGTCTGTCACTTTTAACAGATTAGATTGGCCAATTTTATCTATTCATATGTTGATCTTTTTTTTTTTAAGGCTCACTTATTTTAAACTCTTAAAAAAGAATGGCCAATGTGCCGAATTATGGTAATGGTTTGGGTGATCAAATTCGTATGTTATGGGGCATAATAATAATAATCCCATGAGCTTGGCATAGTGATCGGTGATTAGTATGGTATATATAGTTGTTTAAATTGGTATTCTACACCATTTACCATGCTATTTTTGTTCCATATTATTATACTGATTTCTGTAATCACAATTTTGATTATCTCTCATCTTTTAAGTTTAGAGATCAACACAGCTTAAACCAGATTTTAAAATCCTGTCGTAAAATATTACACAAGAAAAAAGCATTTTGTCTTAGCAATGTTATTTTCTTGCAACCTGGAAAAATTTTAAATTATAATTTAAAGTATGGCTTAGTGTGTTATATTATTAAATAAAAAAATTAAATAAATAATATATAGATTGTTATTCCGATTGATGAACTATTATAAATGTGAAATGAGAGGAGTAAATCTTACTTCAAGCCTTCAATTTTATAATTTATTTTTACCAGATTTGACCTTTAAAAACCTGATAGTACAATAGTAACATCTATGACATGTATTATATGATCTATATCTGATCAGATTTTTACGAGCTGAATTTATAAATAATAAATGATTAGCTTGAAAATCTGATGTCTCATTTTCTTATGGTAGTGCTCAAATGATTTCTGAATCGTTCTTTTTTTATCTCA